AAAGGTGAAAAAAACCAGGAGAGAGATCAAAAGAAACAGAGGGAAGAAACGAAAGGGAAAGCAAACGACCGCTTTTTCTATTTTTTTCAAGACGCTAACACAACGTCTTGGATGAACGACAGGCTGTCGTCAGAGCCCATGTCAGACCGATTTCGGCATCTAGGCCCTTGACGTGGGAAGAGACATCATTTATGACGTTACCCAAAAGAGAACAACCTCCCTGGCTGGGAGTCGAACCCAGCTTTCGCGCGTGATTGCATTTGCAGTCTTGATGACAGGCGCGTGTACTAACCGATATAGATATTTTGAGAAGCATAATGGGTTGGATCCGGTCACGCTCAGCACCGATTAACCTCATCTGGATCAAGGGTCACTCGGGCAACAGTCACAACGATGAGGCAGATAAGCTGGCAAACTTCGGCACATCCAAACCTGTCCCCATCCCTCACTCACACACGGACTACATGTCCGCCCCTTGCCCCCCTCCTTTCATTCCTCAAGAAGGCTCTGGCCTGAAAGTTCGGGCTGTATTGCCCAAGCCTCGGATGGTCAAAGAGTCGAACGACCCCAATCCAAGGCACCCTTTTAATCACCGTGGACGGTCATTCAAGAGAAGACTTCAAAATGAAACCCTGCAAAGATTGATGGAATCTTCGTCTGACCCGAATGCGTTTTGGAGACTATACAAGAGTCTTAGATATCAATCCCTTCCCCCTAGTGCTGTCAGTCTCGATGACTTGTTCTCTTGCTTTGTCCCGAGGTTGAACCCGCCTGATCCCTCAAAAGTACGCTTCAATCAAGATCGGTTACTGGAGGAGGATAGGAGAGCTGAGCGACGGAGCTTCCGTTCCCTTCCGTCAAGGTTCCCATGCCTGAACCAGCAAGTGGAGATTTCGGATATTGAAGAAGTCAAGTCTTACCTGAAGTCACGCAACCACTCGGACACGACAGGAATTGATGAGAGCACATATTCATTGATTATGAATGTGGATAACGAGGTTTTGCTTGAACTGTACAAAGAGTGCTTCACAACGGGCGATGTCCCCACGGCTTGGTTGACGACACTACTATCTGCGCTACCAAAGACAGGCAAGGATACCTCAGACCCTAACAACTATCGTGCTATTGCTCTAGAAAGCTGCTTCCTGAAGTTTGGGACCCTTATAGTGCTAAGGAGATTGACTAATGCGGCCGAAGAGGGCAAGATTCTTCCTCCATCTCAAAATGGTTTCCGAAGGGAATACCGTACGAATAACAATGCCTTCATACTCCGAACGCTTATTGAGAGATCTAGATCCCGGAATGAGACCCTTTACGTCGCTTTTGTGGATATCTCCAACGCGTTCCCCTCAACTAATCAAAATGCGTTGTGGAACCGTCTGGAAGACTTCGGCCTAACAGGAAGGTATTATGATTGGCTGCGTTCAGTGTATGGGCGAATGAAATACATGCTCACTCAGGGTGGTGAAGTTTCGGCTGAGTTTGATGCTGGTTCGGGTGTTCTCATGGGTGACCCTGCGTCGCCGATGTTGTGGAATCTCTATCTGGCTTCGTTTGATCTCTCCTTTGACCCAGATGATGCCGACCTTTCAGGTACTCCCATCTCCCATCTCGAACACGCAGATGACATGGTGATTGTCTCTCGCTCACCTCAAGGGCTCCAGCGGCACCTGTCTGAATTGGAACGGTGGTGCTTTAACAACTTCCTATCACTGAGTCCCTCGAAATCGGAGGTAATGATATTTGGGAACTCGATTTCTGGCGCATTTCCACGCTTTGTCATAAACGACAATGCCCTCCGAGTGGTCGACAAGTTTAAATACGTGGGCGTCACTTTTACGTCAACACATCGCGACATCTTCAACGATTTCTACTCTGCAAAAGCACGTGCGGCACGGTCCTGTGCCCATGGTGTCCTAGGAACGGAACGTGTTGTAGGGCGAGGGCGTCTGCCGGCAAAATGCTGCCAGGAATTGTATACTGCACTGGTGGACTGTCACTTGATCTCAGGCGCGGAGATTGTTCCTGACGTGAGCAAGGAGGGCATAGAGCTACTGGAGAAAGAACAGGTGATGTTTCTCCGTCGCATGCTTGGTCTCTCAAGCAAGTCGATCACAACACCTCTATTCACGGAGACAGGTCTTCGTCCTATTCGTATACGTCGTGCAATACTGGCGTTATCATACCTCAAATATCTTCTTCAACTCCCAGTGGGTCACTACGCCCGCACCGCAATAGAGTCATCCTTTGCCCTCCGTCAGAATAACTCACCTTCGTGGGTGTCCGACCTGGATCTTGTGTTGCGCCGGTTGCCTGGTAATGATATTCGGCAACTGTTCTTGCCGCAACGCACGGATTTATGTGCATCAAGTATAGATGGGTTGGTGAAAGAGATTCGGAGGCTCTCAAGCGAGCATCTCTTGTCTGAGATTAATTCATTTCATCGTCTATCCCTGCTCCGTGGTAGGATAGAACCTATAGATCCAAATAGTGACGATAAGCCTTCCTCCCCAGTTCTTAGATTCCGACACTACTTATATCGCGTGATCAATCACCGTCATCGTCGTTCCCTGACCCGCCTTCTGGCAGGGAATGTGTCTCCTTTTATCTTCCGCTGCTCACCGGGGCGGAGTTACATTGAGGGTGACGATGTCGAGTCGAAACAGTGCCGTCTATGCAGGTCCACTTTCGAGACACCGGAACATGTGATGCTGAGCTGCAGGGGGATAGCCGATATTGTGGAGCTACGTAGGGAGTTCCTGCGGTCCAACCATCTTGATCCCGATACTCAACGCTCATGCAATCATGTCTTTGAGTTGCTCAAGTCTTTGGTTTTCTCTTGGGATCTCGTTCCGGGCACAGCAAAGTTTGTCCATGAATGTCTGATTATTTGGAAGGATAGATGTAACATTCCTCATATTGACGAATGCTTCGAGGATGAGCGAGAATAATTGTTACTGCGATAAATCGAGTTATTGATATTTTACTGTTCCAGGGACTTGTCCTTTGCCACTACTCTACTACTGTGTATTCTCGTTGCTTCTTCTAGTTTTGTTTCACTATGGTAATTTATCATAGTACCATGATTACAAGTACTGACATTATGTACAATTGTAATACCTCGCACCTGTTGGGTGAAAGGTCTACCGCGCGTTTGCCTCCACCGAGCTTGTGTTGCCGGCTGATCCTTAAGGGTCCCCGCATGTTGCGGAGCCGTGTATCCTACCTACCTACCTACCTACCAGGGAATTAGACTCTATTCTTTCTCGTTGAGATAAGTACCATCCCAATTATGTGTATTTCGTCCTTGTTTCCGCTGAAAAAAAGTTCGATCGTTATAAATGTTTCCGCTACCTCCGAATCCCGATCACTTTGACAGGTCTTTCGTCACGGATTATCATTCAAATTGGACAACGGAAATGATAAAAAGTCATGTGCTGATTTGTAAGCATGCCAAGAAATATTTACCCGCGTAATGACCATTGACTTACCGCAAAAGTCGCTCCTTGAAGTCAAGGAGAGGTCAGAGGTGGTAGAAGCCTCAAGGCCTCGCAGGTATAAATTGTAAAAAAAAAAGATTTACAACGTTGCATCAAGTTCTCCATACTACTCACTTAAATCGTATAAGTACTTTAGTCTTTCAATCCGGATGATCTTGCAAAGTTGGCGTTTATGTACTTCGAAGACGATAATGTCTTTGGATGTCCACCTAATCTAACAGAGTCTCACCACGTTTGTGGGTAGCAGTATTCGGCCCTACTGGTTATTCAAGTATCGACAGGTAAAGGAACCTTTGAGGATCACAAGAAATTCTAGGACTCGAATTAGGCATCCTTAGTTAGTTAGTTAGTTAATTACACGGCAAGGTCCCAGGTCGGAACAGCCGGACGACCATTGGCAGTAGGGACAAGACACAACTCCATACCAGAGAGTGCCCGCCCTACCAGCACCATAAGATAAGTATACAAAAACAATAAATCATAGTATAGTACATGTAGTCAGTGTTACTAATTTCCATCATTCTCTCGCAGCCCCTCCAGCAGCCCAGGCATGCGATACATCGGAAGTTTTCGACCATCGTTTATCAACGTGACGGTATGCAAATAATAAATTTTGCCATAACATGCACAATCTCCCAATCAAAAATCAGCAGTTTGACTCAGTCTAGTGCTTCTTCCGAGGACAAGAAGACTGGAATGTCCCAATTATGTTCTCTTGAGTCTCAGCACTGTCTCGCGTAGCTCCTGTTTCCATTCCACTGTCTCACGATCTAGCATGCACTGCAGTAGGGCATGTTCCAGCAACTCTACATGCATCGTGCAAATGCAGCAAAGGCAACGTTCTCTCGGAATATGGTGTCGTCTGGTAGCAGATCATGACTCCCAGCGAAGCCCTTCTAGTGCATATTCACGTTGCCCACATAGTAGCCATGTGATGGCATTGCGATATTTAGGATTCAGGATTAGGTATAAGTAGTGCCTCAATGTCCTAGCGTTAACCACCCGTCTTGGTGTGTAACCCCTCCTCCCCGATGTAGCGCTCAGCTATCAGCAAACATTGATCCAGTCCAAACATCGCCCGAAATTGAAAGACGAATTAAGTGGGCCACCGCAAGCGTGGCAAGTACGAGGTCTTTGCCATGGAACAGTGCCGCCAGGGAAGTCAGAAGTCTTCTGATCCTGACGGGATCACAGTGACGACCCTTGGACTGATAATAAAGGTCGAGAGACCTCAGTGCGTGTAAAGACAAGTGAAGTGGGCCACCACAAGCGTGGCAAGTATATACGAGGTCTTAGAATGGCCGTTACCAGGCTGAGGAAGAGGACTCTGATCCAAACATCAGATGAAAGAAGGCCGGAGTTTCCGATACCTGATTGGTAATACTTAAAGGTCTTGACAAACAAGACCACATCGGTGACCGACCGAGGCAAAAAAGACGATTCGGATTCCTCCTTTGAGTCGGCCTCGTAATTAGTCTCCTATGTCATTAAAAAAAAGATCTCCCTGGCTGGGAGTCGAACCCAGCTTTCGCGCGTTTAATTCCTTCATAGTCGGCCAGTATGACAGGCGCGTGTACTAACCGATATACTACCAGGGAATTGAAGTTTTTTTTCTTTCTTTCTTTTTGAGATAAGTACCATCCCAAGTATTCGTCCTTGGAAGTTGGTTCCGCTGAAAAAAAGTTCCGCTACCTCTCCGATCACTTTGACAGGTTTTTTTCGTCAACGGATTCAATTGTGCTGATTTGTAAGCATGCCAAGAAATATTTACCCGCGTAAATGACCTGTAATGACTTCGAATCTTAAGAGCCTGACCCCGGATTATGGGAGACAATGTCATATCTCAAATTGGTCTCTGGAGGCCGTTCATGTCCGAACCGATTTCATGGATTCTGACCCCTCCCATGTCCGAACCGGGATATGGCATCATATATAGCCCTGTCTGCTGTTCGAACTGCTCATTTTTTGTTTTTTTTTTGACTTGTGAAGCTATCCTAATACAGAGCTTTAAATCTATGTTTTGGCTGGTAGTTATGAAAATATGAGTGCAATATACTATCAAGGATTCTTCACCCGCCTTCTGAAATGTTTCATCACCTCTTTAAGCACTGTCAGAGCATCCCTGAGATCATAAAACACTGCTAGATCATCTACATTCTGTAAATGCAACATCCCTCAGGATACGTCCTTATTGATACCCGATGTCCTGGTCAAAAATTCATAGGAATTGATGAATGCAAATACATGAACTTGCAAAGAGGAGGTAATGGACTTGAATCGTCCGTGACGCGCATGCTGGAATAGCCAAGTACGACAAAACCGAAATGTTATCAGTGGAAGTGACTGCTGCATGTTTTTGTAGTTGCTGCTGACCGGGAGCTGTGCTGGGCATTGGAATATTGAAACGTTGTGGACAGAGAGACAAAATAATTTCGAAAAACAGTTTACTGTGGCATTATTGTGTTCGACAAAATAGCTATTTGGGTATTAAGGGCTACTACAAATAACCATTTTGGGTAAAGAGGTTCGGAGCTGGGGAGCTTGAAGGCTCTGTCAGCTGCCTCCCATGTCCGAACTTTGGTTATAGGCTCCGCCTGCGGCGAGCTCCATGTCCAAACCGGTCTCCTGGGATCCCAGAATTTTTGCCTCCATCCATGTCCGAACCAGGATATGACATCGCCTCCCATAATCCGGGGTCCTATCTTAAGTACCCCAAAAAAGTCACTCCTTGAAGTCAAGAACAGGTCAGAGGCGGTAGAGGCCGCAAGGCCTCACAGGAAATCGTCAAAAAAAAAAATTAATTACTACGTTGCATAAAGTTCCCCATACTAAAATCGTAAAAGTACTTAGTCTTTCCGGATGGCATTTAAGTACTTCGAAGACAATAATGTTTTTGGATGTCTATCCAATCCAACAGAGAATCACCACGTTTGTGGGTAGCAGGAGTTGGCCCTACTGGTTATTCAAGTATCGACATGTAGAGGAACCTTTGAAGATCACAAGAAATTCTAGGACTCGGATTAGGCATCCTTATGGAACCCCGAGTCCTCCCCGACGTAGCGCTCGACTTATCCATGAACGTTGATCAATCCAAACATCTCCCAAAAACCTCAAGACACGAGATGAGGTCAAATAGTCTTCTGACACAACGGAGTTTAGACCCCTATATCATCCGTATCGCACGACAATCAAAAGACAATCGTAAATTAATTTAAGTAGAAACCGAAGTGGGAAAATGAATCTTGTCAACATTGGCATTGCCTCTCAACTGCGCGCATCATTGTACATGTCAATGTATGTTTCTCGAGAGTTGACCCACATGTAACAAGTGAATGTGATCTACCTTTGTTACTGTACAAATACCGACATGTAGAGATTCGTTTGTTTTATTGCATCGCGTCTAATATTCCATCAAAGATCGATGGATTTCGCCAAGTTGACGTTCGTTTTCTAATGACATTTTTCAAAGGTTTTTGGTTCTTGATTCGTACACTTGAAGTGCCTTTGAAGGTCTCGAAAGAGCTTTTTTCACTTATTCATAACCGCCATACTAGAGACCTTGCGCAGAGCCACAACAAGCCACGTGTGGCTTAGTCAGGTTGCGCAGGTGGTTGGCTCGCATTTGTGTGCGCTAGCCAACAGATCCGTTTCCATGCCCTATCATGGGTTTCACCGCTGGAAACATCTAGTATGATCTACTGTATAACTGTACTATTTGGTCCAATTCGTCGGTCACGCATCGCACTCGGTTTTCGCCAATAAATTGAATAAATTTTTCTCGATTTATTTTTGGGGATTTCTTGGAAAAATCAAAAGTCACGTGCACGACAAAATGAACAAAATGGTACGATTTAATCCCAAACGTCTGATACCTAGAGACACTGGCCAATTATGCGTTGATACTCTAGCAAAGGGATGTCCTGGCTTGTCCATACTTGATTATGTTGGTACATTCATAGATGGGACTCATAAAATACGACGCAACGTGGCTGTTGGCTAGCGCACACAAATGCGAGCCAACCACCTGCGCAACCTGACTAAGCCACACGTGGCTTGTTGTGGCTCTGCGCAAGGTCTCTACTACTTACGGGAGTGGAACTAGAAATCCAAAACTTTGAAATGGCAGATTTTTGATTCAGCCTAAAACATCATCCTATTTACACGGGCCTTATACCTCCGTTGTAACACGCAGAAAATCATAGCAATCTCACTTTTTTGGAAATTTAGATTAAGTACAGGCGTCAGAAAAAGGAAGTACTCGTTCCGAAGAGGGCGCGCTTTACTTAGTACGTGTACATTAGTATGACATCTCGCTTGGTGGGTATCAAAGACCGATCGTATGCTCTCAGGCTACAATTAGTGGGTCGTTATTAGATAGAAGTTGTTGCGGTTTTCTATATTCTCACTTGGATTGTATACAAAAGACTAGCCCCGGGGACTCCCTATCGAAAGATGCATGATAATCAAACAATTACTACTCAGGATGAGTCAATAAATGTGAACCTTATTGGTTGACCTACTTATTCCGTACAGTCAAAATGGCGCTTATGTTTGTCTTGTTGAGCGTCGACCATGGAAGGAGGAATGTTTGATAAATTAACGACTAACATCTACTACTCCACCATTGCATTTAGTATGAGAAGTGTGAAATAGATGGAGCCTACCGTAGTTGAATCCACTGAACAACATCTACTATTCATACATGCACATATGATTAACAACCCTCAATGACAGACCATATTTTAGAAACACATAAAAAGTCTCACTGCTCTAACCCACTTCAATTCTTATCTCCCTCGTCTTAAACCATGCAGCAATCACGACCTCTCACGGAGAGCGATATCATAGCTACGGAGCTATGGATCGCTCCTACAGCAGTCATCGCATTGCTTTATGGCGTACACTTAGTCCTGAGCATCCTCACTCTCGGTCTACTCTTGTGAGTCCAAACGATCCCTTTTCTATTCTTGTTCAATGCCAATGGTCTCCGGAGCTATAACTAATGGATGGTATTATAATCAATATGTCATACAGAAAGAGCGGTCTGAAGAAAAAAGCCCACGTCGGCCTATTCATCCTGACAATCCTCACCATGATAGGATCGACTTTCAATGCGGTCCTCGACTTGGAATTCAAACTCCTCGAGGCCTCGCTACGAGGTCAACATCATCCTGATTTGAACTCGACCTTGGATTTGGCAAATAAAATTTCTATCGGTCAGAATTATACAGATAGGTTGAATGTGAGTACCATGGAACCGTTTACACGTATCATGATTTGAGTTTCGTTCCTCTAATACCCACGTTCTCCTCCCCAGTTCTTGATCAGTGATGCTATTGTAGTCTGGAGAGCATGGGTTCTATTTCCGCGCAGTCGAAAAGTGAAAGTCATCTTAGCTCTGTGTATGGTTATCTCAACTGGTAAGCACCCATACAACGACTAGTACACTGGAGATTCTAGTAACAAAACGTTTTCTTTCCATGATCAGCGGGAACCTATCTCGAAGCTGCATTTATCACTAGCAGAGCAGTAGGACTCAAAGATTTCAAGCTTGCACAAAGAAAGATATTCTTAATGCCTATCTGTGTCCTCCTGACCAACGTCACTGCGACATTTCTAATAGGATACAAAGCATGGTAAGCTATGCAATCATTAGTCGTTATGCGCGAATTTCTAATGAACGTCAACGTTTACCAGCTGCCACCACATGACTATAAAGAGAAACCTTGATAAAACTGATCGCTCAGTTGATCAAATAAGAAAGATTCTCGTTTTCCTCGCAGAATCTGGTGTGGTTTATTGCGTGCTATGGGTACGTACTATAAGCTCTCATTTCACCAAGACATTCAATAATTTATTATCCAATCCACATAGATCATCTATGCAGCAATCATACTATTTGCTGGGAACGAGACTAGCATTTCATATGGGATATACAACACCGCTATGCCTGATATATCTGTAAGTTTTCATAGCCTTTTCTTGGCTATCATAGTTAGACTCACTTATTGAAACAAGGGTATATATCCCATTCTCATCATCCTTCTCGTGGCACATGAGAATAACGTAAAGGAACAAGAGAACCATAACGTCACGCTATCTCAGTCCATAAGATTTGCTTCAGCACCAAGGGCAAATTCTGACTCAGAAGGAGATATTTCCGAGGTGGGGTCTTCAAGTACCAGTGGTAAGGCCGAAAGAAGCTTTGAAAACACCAGTGGATCTGTATTTGTTGAAGGCTCTAATGGAAAGAGATCAGATCAAAGCTCCTCCTTTTAGTAGAAGATCATCCTTGTCTAATGGCCACGTAATTGCCGAACCTTTAGGTTGGCTCCTTACACCAAGATTTTTCCAAACTATTCCCACGGGTACCATATATAGCAGGTACCTTCCAAATATATCTTATACTCCGAGTACTAGTAAACCTCTAAAGGCTCGGCCCTCGCCGCTTGCGGCCATACCCCCCAGTCATTTAAATGATGTACTAGTTTTTTCTTAAACCTTCAATACTTAGATCGGTAAATGGTTCATTTCTACTACAGCTAAAGTTGCTAGTCCGCCACTATCTTCTCATACTGTACTATTACGACCAAAAGTT